GACCCCATTTTAGGATGGTATTATAATGTGAGCTTTTACCCATTAATCAGATTTTTCTATCACCACTTTTACAGTGGCTAGACTCTCCTTTCAAAAAAAATATTTCTTTTTAATCATAGTCTCTTTTTTTGTTTATGTTCTCAGTAACAAAACTATCCCAACTCCTGAGGTTACATCATGATGACTACTAAAATGAAACTGAAGGAGCTATTCTAGAGTGGAAAAGTACATCTCCTCTTTGGTCCTCCAGGCCCTCCCTCAAAGACCTCAGATGGTTAATCTATCTTCCTCCCTCTCTCAGGGTCCACTGCTTGAAGGCCATCAAATGTATCCACAAAATCAGCAGAAACACTGGGTTGTGATCTAAATGGTTTTTATGCTAGTTTTCACTCAGCTAACGTTTAAACTGTCCACACCTCTTGTCCTCTACAAGTCTGCTGCTCACAAATTGAATGAAAAACCTTACTGAGGTTTCAAGTACACAGGTTCTTTTCCTACCTGAGATGGTGACTGTGCCTCTTCCCACAGTGTCTGTGGTTAGTCCTCCCAGTTTTCTGCAACTGACTAGTTTTAAAAGGATGGGTGCAAAGGAAATGAAGGGATGTAGGACAGAGGCCACCATTTAGGGCACCCAAGTTCTTAGAAGGCAGAGAACCTTATATTGCCATCATAGAACCTTCACCCAGTAGGTGATAGAAGAAGCAGCGATCCACAGCTAAGCATTGAAACAAACTCCTGGAGTTCAGTTGTAGAGAGGGAGGAATGATGAACAAAGTGGTGAAGACCACATTGAAGAAACACACAGAAACAGCTGACCCAAACATGTGGGAGCTCCAGACTGACTGCTGGGGAACCTGCATATGACTGAACCAGGCTCCCTGAATGTGTCAGAAGGGGGCCTGGGAAGTCTATGGGGCCACTGGCAGTGGAACCAGTATTTATCCTTAGTGCATGAACTGGCTTTTTGGAGCCCATTCCCCATGGAGGGATATCTTGCTCAGCCTTGATATATAGGGGAGGGTCTTGGTCCTGCCCCATATGATGTGACAGACTTTGAAGATTCTCCATTGGAAGCTTCACCATCTCTGAGGAGTGGATGGGGTATTGGATAGGGAGATAATAGGTGGAGTAGGGGGATGGGAAGGAGAGGGAACTGGAATTCGTATGTAAAATAAGATTGTATTGTAAAAAAAAAAAAGTGTTACCCATGTGGGGAGGATAAATCCAAAGAGATTTATCAAAGTGGAGTATTTAAAACAATGTGTGTAAATGTCTTGCATGGTAGGGGAAATAAAATGATTTTAATTCCTTTTCCTGAATCATAGTTTTATGACAATTATTTTTGTGTTTTCTTTATTATTATTATTATTATTATTATTATTATTATTATTATTATTTTATTTAAATTAAAAGTATCAACAGCTTCTAGAGGCTGTGCCCAGATCACAGTTTAGAGCTCCTGCTTATCTTAAGTAGTGTTGCCTTTGTCCACTGGGGTGCTGAAGGTGACTCCAGCTGCAGTTCTGGGAAGCCCTTCTATCACATTCCATCTGGAACAGCTATTACAGGTTTTTTTCTTCTTTTTTCTGGTACAAGTAGCCTAGAGTCTGCAGCTGTGGTAGTGGTTGCTTTGGTTACACTTGCAGCATAAAGTGCAGTCTCAATATAGAGGAAGTTCATGGGTCTAATGGCAGAAAAGAGTTGTTGGACCCTTGATCAAGTCAATTTGTAGTTTATAGAAGTAACTATAGGACTGCTGTAATATTCTTTTTATAAAGTTCAATGTCTTTAATGTTTGAAAATTTCATGCCATGTGCTTTGAACGTGTTTATCCTCCAAGTCCTCCAGATTCCCCTAGCTCTCTACCTACCCAACTTTATCTTTTCCTACTTCCCTCCCTCTTTCCTTCCCCCTCTCTTTCTCCCTCCTTCTTTCCTCCTTTCTCCCTTCCTCCCCCCTCCCTCCCTCCCTCCTCCCTTCCTTCCCCCCTCTCCCTTCCTCCCCCTTACCTCCCTCCCTCCTTCCTTCCTTCCTTCCCTTCCTTCCTTCCTTCCATCCTTCCCCCCTCATCAATTCTGCAATTCTGTTTCATGATGGATAAGCCTCTTAGATATGGGTCCTGCTCTGGAGTGTGGTCAGTACAACAGAAATAAAATTATTTCTATTTTAATATAATATATTATCCATAAGAAGTCCCAAAACTTTCACCAGATAATTTCCAGAAACAACCATTTCAGCAAAGTGTCAGGATACAAACACAACTTGTAGAAATCAGTAGCTTTTCTACACACCACCAACAAACATACTGAGAACGAGATCATGGACACGCACGCATCTTCTATATTTTAAGTAACCCTTCTGTAGTTGGAGGTTTCTTGTCTCCCATGCCAGTTCCCACATAACCACTCAGAGGGTTAATATTAATTATAATTGTTTAGCCAATGGCTCCGGCATATTACTGACTATCACTCACAATTAAATTAACCCATTTTTATTAATTTATAATCTTACCATGAGGTTCATGGTTTGCTAGCTCACATCTTGCTTCTCCAGTGGCTACATGTTGTTTCTCCAACTCTGCTTCTTCCCTCTCAGTATCTTTGTTTGGATTTAACTCCTGGCTTTCTTATCCTTGGCCATTGGCCAAATCAACTTTATTTAACAACCAACTAAAGCAACATATATTTGTAGCATGCAGAAGGACATCCTGATGGGGGATGTTCTTCTGTATATATGTTTCCCTTATTGGTTCATGAATAAAACATTGATTGGTCAGTCGAGGATGGAAGATAGGAGGGGCTAGGAGATGATGAAAATTCTGGGAGAGAGAGAGAGAGAGAGAGAGAGAGAGAGAGAGAGAGAGAGAGAGAGAGAGAGAGAGGAAGAGAGAGTCACCGTGAAGCCATGTAGCTGGCAAAGGAGTAACAGGTCCGTGCATTCTCTGGTAAGCCAAGACCACATGATAATAATAGATTAATAGTTATGAGTTAATAATTAAGGGAGTAGTAGCCAGTAAGAAGCCCTTGTAAGCAGTACGGTTTTTCCACCCGCCGCCCGGTCTTGTTCCGCCGCTGTGCCAGCCCCAATTAACACACAGAGACTCTGTATTTGATATAATTCTGTTGGCCTGTTTCTTATTTCTTATTGGCTAGCTCTGTCTTAACTATTAACCCATTTCTGCTGATCTATGTATTTCTTTTACCGGGGAGCCGGCTGGCATACTGCTTTCTCCAGACTCTCCATCTTGACTCTCCTTCTTACTACTTCCTATTTCCTCCTCGTTTCCTAGTCCCGCCTATCTAGCTTTCCTATTGGCCAACAGTGCTTTATTCATTAAACCAGTATGAGAAACATATATACATAATGACATCTCCCATCAAGCCCTAAGAAACATATATACATAATGACATCTCCCATTAAGCCCTAAGAAACATATATACATAATGACATCTCCCATCAAGCCCTAGCCATCAGCCAACATTTTTATAATTAATATAGTGTTTGTGTGTTAGCAACTACATCCTATATCACCCTTCCTTTGAAATCAATTTTATCCCATAATGCTTTGCCAGGGCTTTGTCTATTCTTTAACCTTCCCTGTCATTTGTGTATATATTATAGTTTTCATATTTGTGTTTTATGGTATTTCTGTGTGTGTGCAAGTATGTATGTGTCTCTATATAATTTGTGAGCTTTTTCCTTGTCTCTTTTTCTGGTTTTTTCATTTGTTTTGTTCTATCCTGTTATTTTTTATTTTATCTAATTTTATTTTATGAACACTATATTTTTAGTTGCCTGTTTGTATCTTAATGAGAGATAGAGGTAGAGGTAGAGAGAGAGAGAGACAGAGAGAGAGAGAGAGAGAGAGAGAGAGAGAGAGAGAGAGAGAGAGTATGGATTCAGGTAGCTGTGGAAATTTGGGAGTATCTATAAGGAGGGGAAATAAAAAAATCAGAATATATTGTATTAAAATTTTAGTTTTAGTTAAAAAATTCAAGATTCTCCCAACTAAGAGATAGAAATACATTTCTGAGTCTAGGAGAGCTAGTTCTAGGACAGGCTCCAAAGCTACACAGAGAAACTCTGTCTCCGGAAAAAAAAAAAAAAAAAAAAAAAAAAGCTTATGTTCATGTCTAAATATCACTTTTTTCCTATTGTTTCTCTTTTCCTCTTGCAATTCATTCATTCGAAAAAGATACATGCATCTTTCCTTTTCTAGAATAAATGACTACTTTCATTGTTTTAGTACCTATGAGATCAAATTGTCCCCATGTCTCCAGCCAAGAAAAGATTTTCTCAGAAGTATTTGATAGGCTTCACTCATGAACTGCTTTACAAACCTCCAGGGTGATTTCATGATGCCTCCGTGTCTTATCTTCCCTGTGCAATCAATCCTCTTAGCCCATAGTGTTCATTGCTCATAGATAAATTGGAGACTTTTTAGATAGACCGTGATTGAGGAAATAAAAGTGAACACTGGAATGAACAAAATAGCCACAGTCCCCAAACTGTTGTCCTTAACCTAAATATCTCTCTGTATTAGGTAGTTCAAATAGGGCTCTCAGCAAGACAGCCTTGTGTGAGGGCTTCTCTAGGTTAGTGTTCTTCCTAAAATAATGACAGTGGAGGCTGTTTTGAAAATACAGATTTAAATGTCACCCTTTCCTCCCCTTCTCTGTTAGTATTTTCCTACTTTACTTTTTATACATACATGTATACATGTATGCATGTATGTATCTATCTATCTGTCATCCCTATCTATAACTATAATCTATTATCTATCATTCATAATATCTGGGTGGTCTTCTGTGATCACATTTTATGACCATTTAAAACATAGTTTAGAAACTGATAAGAGGGAATATTATCTTAATTAGGAATCTGGGTGTATGGAACTGTTTTATCAAAATCAAGAACCTCTGTCAGACTGATCCCTGGTTGTTTTTATTTGCTGTCCAAGGTACTGTGTTTGCCAACACTCCAAAGGTGTCTCTCATAAAATGTTCTTCTCAAGAGTGATGTGCATCATATTTTCATTTCTTCTTTATTCTGGTGAGTACATTTTCCTGTCCTGGATGAGAACTTTGAACATATTCTAAAAAATCCAGGGAGGCAAAAATCTCTAAATATGGCATATGAATGAATGAGCTTGTCTTACTTGGGTTGAAGCCCTTAAACTCATCATGTTGCAAATGTCTCTAAAATTAGGGCAGTGGATAGCTTTTCCTAACTAATCCACATTGCAGAAGTTTGAAGATAGCAGTAGATTAGAAGATAGCTTCAGGCCCTGTACATTCAGGCCTATATCAGGGAGTGTTTTATTCTCCATCTAGTTCAAGATTTTCTGTGAATTTCAAAATGAGGCACTTGTGAAACTTTACCTAGAACCTTGGAATTACAGCTGTTTAATATTTTACATGAAAGATATTTTGAACTCTGAAACCAGGGTACTTCACATAAAAAGTTATATAAAGTTAATGTGTCCAGATCTATTAATAAATTTAAGATGATACTTTTATATAGTAGTATATAGTACTACATTTCACAGGCTATATATATTTGAAAATTAGAATTGTCCAGATTTTCCATGTATTTTTAGTTAATTTTTTTTACTGTTGCCATGAAATTCTCATTTATTACTTATAGCTGTAGGCAATTTACATCAATGTCTGCTACATTTCGATGTTGGTACTTCTTGCTAAAACAATGTGGACAAGCTTGTTTTTGTACATTTTATCTGACTTCTCTGCTTTGTTTTCAGAAAGTGCCTTTATAAAATCACTAATTTACAGGAGACCAGTAAGTTACTACTATTTTGTATGGAAATTTAAAAGTAAAGATACATTTTCTTTTATAAACTGAGGGATTTCATGTAAAATTTGCCAAAGAAACTCTTCTAAAGTTAAAAAATAGAATTTTTAATACAATAAGCACCAAATAGAAATCCAGAAATGCAAGCCAATTTATCATTGGTACCAGATTTGACAAAGAGTATCTTAATCTCAAATTCCTATCATTAACAATCTAATGTGTAATTACATATCTATATAGCCCAATGTGGACAGCACAATGGTTAATTTAACATTAGAAATGATGCCTTCCACATACTGTATTGTACAATGTTACCTTTGAAATGTAAATATTAAATTGAAAATAAGTGAATTGTCCCTCTAAATATTAATATATCAATGACATGTGAGTCACATGTATGCAATATATACTCCATTGCTTTCTTTGTACAAAATAACAAATTATCTAAAATTGAAATTATTTGTTTATGAACATGTACATAAATGAGATATATTGAAATATAAATATACAGTACATGTGTACATCAAATTGCAGAGAATTTACAGAGGAATAAGAGAATAGCCAAAAAAAAGTTCAATTTGATAATGATGAGATGAAGGAAATGTCTGGTGGGGAATCACAGATGTCATAATGTGAGTTGTCTGCTTTATAAGACCATGTTACATCAGCTGTGTGGTGTTCTTATTAGTAGGGGCTTACAAACTAAAAATGTGATAATTATTTTCATGTGGTTTATATGTTATATGTCCTTTACATCTATGTGTAGATTATATTTAAACTGTTTTTTATGACATGAAGAGCACTTTATTCAATTGCCCATCATCTAATACATTTATGTTATCTTTTTGTGTTTTCAGACAGTGTGTGGGATGTATAATCGTCTAGGTATTTGTTCCAGAGAGTATTTTCCAGTCTGTGGAACCAATCGCCGTACTTATATCAACAAATGCATTTTCTGTATTGCATACAGGTAAGAATACAATACTAAATACAAGTTCTTCCTAAGTTATGAAGACTTAGTAGCAAAATCTTAGATCAGTTTTACTGATATTTCATGTTCATAATAAACAGAAAAAATGACCTTACAAACCAATGTGCTATGAAAGACAAAGGAACATATACATCTCCCTTTAATATTATGATTTCTGAAAGTGGCTTTTGCATTTGAAACTTAAGAATATAGCTGCATTGAACGTACATGCAAACAAGTCTTTATTACAGTCTGCAATCTATCATAGTAGAAAGAGATTCTTGGGAGGATCCTTTTTCCTCTGAACTCCATGAACAATTCTACAACACAGGATGTTCTAGGATATCTCCATTTACTATTCTTGCCTTTCTGTTATGTGATCAGATAGCCTAGTCTCATATATAAATATTTCTTTTGCTATCTCACGTCACATGATCTCATTGGCTTTTCCACTGATTGATCCAAGTAATCAAGATCTATTAACAATCCCTAATTCTTTTTTGAGTATGGTCACGCTACATGACTAAGGCAGAACTGAGATAATAGAAAATGTTCAGAATACCCAGAGATGGAAGTGTGAAGGTCCTGGGAGCAGTCAGGGTCTAGTTGCTCATCAAAGAAAAAAATAATTTCTACAATTCAGTCTTTCCCCTATGAAAATTACATGATACACTTCCCAAAGAGGTTTATGTATTCTTTCAATACTTTATCTAAACACTGTTGACCTCATTTATTCTTTTCTTTACAGAGAAAGTCGTGGTTCCATTAATTTGGCACGTTATGGTAAATGCTGAGTTTTTGATGCAGCTACATAGTCCTATGGATCTTGCTATGTTCACAATTTTACTCTGAAGTCTACAGTGCTTTGGAGATTTTGTTATCAGTTTTTTATAGTCCTAGAAGATTGGGTGAATCAGTGTGTAGGATATGGGACAGAAAGCTGGGCTCTCCCTGCTCATTTCACTTCTGAGATTTTGAGATTTCGAAGTTTTACCATCTATAGTCAACTACTTAATGACACCTAAGAATGCAAAATCTTAATTTTACATTCTGCAAGCTGACAACTTAAACAATCAATGCCATAAGAATAGTTCTAAATAAAATTTTAAAGTACACTCTTTATTAAGAATATCTTTTGGGGGAATGGAATGATTTCCCTGTGGTAGGGTGAGCTTGGCAATCTTGGAGAGAACCCAAGTTTGGGTTCCAGCACCCATGTCAGGAGGCTTACAACCTTCATATCCAGGGCTGTCTCATATCATCTTCTCACTACAGTGGATATTTGCACAGATATGTTATACATGCGTACTGACAATAAAATAATTCTTTTAAGAACAATGGTCTTTGCTTCCTTGGAATACAAGGTAACTTTTGACAAATACATATGACCAGTTTTGAAGTAAAGTGCTGATTTTCAAATAGTATCACTGGGAATGACTTTTTATGGAAATAACTCCTTCCTCAGGAGTTGAACTTTTGTCCTCTGACCTCATAATGAATTTGACTATATGCATCAAGACGGTTTAATTTTAAACTGTCCTTTTCCTTTTCTTCATGATCTTTCCATGCCCCTGAGGCAGAACAATGTGTTAGCATATTGTGGGAAATGTTCACCTGAAGCAGTAGGTTGAAAAAAAAAACCCTTGAAAACAAATGTGCATTAGAAAGATTGAAAGTGAGATGTGGTTCTAGATTGATAACTTCTGTTTTCAGTCAAGTGTTTCTAGGTAAGTAAAGGAAACACTTCACTTTTGAAACCTATTGAAATTCCTTGCGTCTTTGCTCATTTATAGTCACTCTATAGTCTACCTATACATACATATGAATATGTATGTAGTAACACAATATACCTATGTATATGTGGTGTGTGTATATGTGTGTTTATTGTATGATGTGTGATACAAGTGTTAGTATTAGTAACAGAATTTGTAATAAAGGAACCCATGTTTGCTTCAGCTAAAATCATGGGGAGAGCCAGAATACCCAGCAAATGGCTTCCAGTGAAATCAACATTCCTTGTTAATGGTTTTTATTAAATACATTAGCATTGTGAAAAGGCAAAATCAAACAGACAAGCGAAAATGGAAGACAAAAGAATCCCCATTCCTTCTTATACAATGTTTTATGCACTGTTCAATAAACATAGAGCAATTAGCTTTGCTGAGGACAGCTGGAAGGTGGAGAAGTAGAAAAATTAGCTTGGGAAAAGAGGAAGAATCTGTTCTTTAATAGAGCACTACTAACTCTGGTGTTACATCTGAGGAGGGGGTCCTTTCTCCTGAATTCAGAGATTCAGACCAGAAAATTCTCTGGCAAAGGGAGACTTAAATGTGAATATTAGTAAGCTTTCACTAAGTGATAACTATTGTTTTTTTAATTTAAACCATAATTTAGATAATATGAAAATGAATCACAGAGACACCTGAGCTGTAACTGACTTGAATTTTCCTGGTCTTAGTTGGGTTTTTTATTTTTATGAAGAGACACCATGACCACAACAACTCTTACAAAGGAAAACATTTATTTAGGGTGGCTTATATATTCAGAGTTTTAATTCATTATCTTCATGGTGTAACGTGGTGGAGTGCAGGCAGATACGGTGCTTGAGAAGTAGCCAAGTGTACTACAACTTGACGTGTAGGTAAGAGAAAGTTGTCTGTTCCTTTGGCATAGCTTGAGCATGTATAAGACCTCAAAGCCCCCCCTCCATAGTGACACACTTTCTTCAACAAGATCATACGTACTCCAAGAAAGTTACACTTCCTAATAATACCATTACATTTGGTGGCAATTGTCTTTCAAATGTCCACACCCTTCCTCTGGATTAGATTTCATGGTAACAGAAGACATTATAAAAAGTTCCACAGAGGTCAGCTTGGTCTCTTGAATAGTTAGTGCTGTTACACAGAGAATCCCAGTCTCAAACAAACAAACATACAAAATCAGTCAATCAATCAGAAGTCCTTATCAATCAATCAATTAACCAATCAATCAAAAGTTCTTACCTGTGCCTATATGTTGAATTTTATTCCTTATCTTTTTTTAATTGCTAAGTGCTTTTATTTTAAAACATGAATTCATGAATGTATTGCAAAAGGAACATACAAGAACATATACCTAAACATACATAGAAAACAATTTCTTCCGCTATGACTTTAAATTCTGCATTTGGATGATACTTTACACATATCTGTTCAAATAACCCCTCTCCATAGTCAGAAAAATTAGATAAGAATGTATGTACACAGGAGATTAATAAATTCCTTGGGCGTAATGATATGAAAACATAAGAGTCTTTTTCATCTCAGGTATAGGGTAGCTGCTTGTATAGGATTGGTTTCTCATTTGGCTGATCTGAGAAATCATATACATAGGTACCAACCCTGTGAACATTGTAAAATTTAATGACATAAAATAGAGTTAATAAAAGCAACTGCTATAAAAACAAAACTTTGGGAGACATTCTATAGTTTCAAGTCAATCCCTTGTATGAATCTGTCAAGCAGCATTTACACAATAGTGTGAGATCCATCTTGAGGCTGCTAGGATTAAGATCAGGCATTCCACCAGGATTTGCGGAAGTTTTGTTTGATCAACAGTGATGGAATCTGTGACCTCTACAGAGTCATGAAAAAGGGTTTCTCTCACAACGGAAGTAGTTTTCTGATTCCGTGTCTGACACGGATTTGCTAAAATTGTGTATCCCAGTCTCAAAATAAGTGACTTTGGCTCTCACAAAATAAATGAAAGAAGGAGAGGGAACACACAAACACACACACACACACACACACACACACACACACACACACACGGGAAAAATAGATACACACTATTTCCTGAGTCTCCTTCTCCTATTAGGAACTCACATGTTACCATCCCATAATACTTGCTGAGCAGTAACACTAACAGGAAGGCTGCCTGCAGTCTCCATGTTAGAGATAAGACATTTCTCTGGTTGTGGCTCATCCTGCACAGAAAGCACCTTGTAAATCCCTAGGTCACTGAGATCTGTAGTAGGTGATTGGCCTGAGTGGAGGGTTGTAGAATTTGTCAAAACAAAAGGACAGCATTTACACAGTTTTATTTCTTGAGTACAGAGAACCACAGATGTCTGGGTTTTAACACTAATGATCTGCTTCTCCTAGCAGGTCCATGTCTTGTTATCACTCCTGTACATTTTAGCATCTCTTTACTTTGAAGTCCTCAAAAGGTATAGTGCTTTTGTGGGTCTTAGACTTTGGTTTGTTTGTTTGATGAGTACTTTTTAGTTTATCTTTTATTATAGCATTTACAAATGTTGCTCACACAGGCCAAGCCCCTGAGACAGGGTGGGCAAGTGTACAGTACTTCAAAAGAGCAAGAATATTCTTAGTTGTCTGGAAAAAATGTAATTATAAAGTTTCAATATGAGAAGAACGAATTAAATGTGATATTTTTCATTTTCATGCTAAGAAAATCTAAAAAGATTTAACTCTGGGGATGATAGAACAGTTTGACAACAACAAATGTGAGCAGCATTTTGGTAAAAACAACAAAAACAAACAGTAAACCAAATTAAAACAAAATAAAACCCCCAGAATTCTTTTTTCACTAATGATTCCTTATCATTTAAGATATCTATTACAGGGTAATGTGGTACATGTTGAGGTCCTTGATCCATTTAGAATTGAGTTTTGTGCAAAATGAAAAATAAGAATCTATTTTTTTTTGCACATTAAAATCTAGTTTTTTTTTTTTTTTAAACTTCAATTCAATGCCCATTTTGGCATCTTTTACAAAGATCAGGTAGCTGTTCCTGCTGTACTTACATTTGGTTCCTCTTCTAAACAATTTATTTATAAATTCATTTTTTTTTGTGCCAGTCCATGCTGTTTTTATTCTGTAGAGTCAGAATATCAAATCAGGCATTATAATACCTTCTGCATTATACTTTTTTTTTTAGAACTGCCTTGGCTACCTTTGCTTTTTTGCGTGTTATTTTTATGTCTGTAAAAAAGGCCCTTCTATTTTAACTGGAACTGCATTGGATCTTTGCCAACCATTTAACTGTGACAAAGTTATTATATGGCATATACAAATAAATCAAAATACTAAACATCAAGAGAAAAAAACCCATTCATCTGAAAAGAACATTCTCAAAGGAAGGTGTACAAATCTCTATTAAAACAGTTCACCTAAGAAAGCATCCAACATCCTTAGCCATTAAGGAAATCCTGATATAAAGGAGTATATTATCAGTTCACAGCATCACACTTGGAATAGCCTTCATTAGGAACACAAATGACAACGAATGCAGGGAATGGGGAACATTTATACACTGGTGAGACTGTAAATTATTTCATACACTGAGAGTGAAGTCAGTTTTCCTTTTTTTATTATTCTTTTTTTATTTTTTAAACTTTTTTAATTTTACATGTCTATCCCAGTTCCCTCTCCCTCCCTCCCTCCCTCCCTCTTACCCTCTCTGCCCCCTCACATGCACCCTGACCACCCGTCCCATCCCCTCATCCCAATTCCACATGTAGGGCAATGCCATCCAGGTGGGGTCATGTATATCTATCAAGTCAATTGAAATAGAGACTAGGGCTTATCTCCTGTCTCTAGGTTAAGGCAGTATCCCTTCCTGGGGGATGTGTCCGCAAGGTCTTTTTGTGTACCAGGAATACATCCTGGTTCCACTGTCTGAGATCCCCTAGACTGCTCAGTCCTTCTAGCTGAGACCCATATTCAGGGGGGCCTGAGTCAGTCCCATGCTGGATTCCCAGCTATCAGTCTGGGGGGCCTGTTAGCTCCT